CCCACTTTATTAGTAAATTTCCCACTTTGCTATACCTACAAAATAAAGAAATAAATAGTCAGAGGGTGCATATGCTCACCAGAAACAGGGAAGGAGAAAGCGCCCCCCAGTGGGGCATGGTCACACCACATCCCATCTCTTCCGTTTCTCTATCCTGCCTGGATTTGGGGTACACATACACAAGCACCTGGTGTGTTTTTCAAGCCACCAAGACCAGAATATGAGCCATGATCAGCCATGTGGGGTCCAACTCCCTTAACCACTTAGTCCCGAAGGCCAGCCCTCTACGACTCTGGAATAGAAAAGATGTTAGATGCTGGATGAAGGCATTGTGAATTGACAGTCTTCTCTGAAGCACAAGCACATCTTAATTTTCAGAGCCATCCATTTGAAAGCTAATGACCCCGCATGCTCACTGAGTGTGGCAACCCAGTGTCCCCTCCGTCCTAGAGATGTGGTGATTCTCTGGGCCCTTCACCCAGGCTTCCTCTGCCTGCCCTGCTGTGCTGAGGGGCTGATCCAGTGTTAAGTCATGGATCTTGTTTTCGTTTGTTTGTTTGTTCTTTGTGCGAAGGGGTTTCTATTTCTGCTGAGGGCCCTCCTGGCTAAGGTACCTCCTCTGGGAAAGGCAGTGTTTGCTAAGCCCTCCGAGGCTCCCAGAGAGGGAGCAATACCCCCACTGCGCTGGGAGGAGACCTTTGTAGTGTCGACTTGCTGTTTGTGTTTCAGGCTCTAAGGGAAGGGTTGCTCCTAATTAAAGGCGTAAATGCTTTAATCCCCGGCCTGAGGGCTTCCCATAGCGCATTAGCCCCGTATTAGGAAGGAAATGGATTGTAATCCCTTTAATATAAGCCTGGAGTTCCTCCTCCAGGGCTTCTAGTTTGGGAGAAGAATTTCCTCCTGTGACTTAACAATATTAACATGCCGAATTTGCATAGCCAGAAATTGGGGGCCTCACTGTCCCTCCAGGCCACAGTGGAGGGGGGAGTCTCACTCTGATTTCCATGGAATGGATGATGGTTATAATAAAGTTCCAACAGCATACCAAACCTGGTGCTAAGTAATTGATTATACACGTTTTTCTTCTTTAATTTATATATCCAAGCCCATTGAATGGGCTGTTGGGCCAGCTGCATGGCTTGGTGGTTAAGATAGCTGGGCTCCACATGACTGGCTGCATGGTTCAAGTCCCGGATCTGGTGACTTGAGAAACGTGCTGGACACTGAATGTGCGCCCCGAATCCTGAAAGGAGGACAAGATGGAAGAGAAGGGACTGTTGTGTGGCCATTCCCATGGGGGTGCTTTTTCCTTACTCTATGCCTTCTCTGGTGAGTGCACACTCACTCTAAAAAGAAAAGGAAAAAACATGTAGATTTAGAGGTTAGTATTCTCAGTGGGTAGAGGTCTGACGCTTGGTGCGCTGTGTACGTTGGGACGTTGTAGACACTGCTTACTGGCTCCTGCCCACAGATCTTTTCGGAAGCATCCGTTTAAATGTTTATCTCAGCATAACCATTTTTCTGGCTTCAGGCCCAGTTGTATCCAGGGTCTCAGTGTCCTCATGATGCTGTCTCTCTCTGTCTCCATCTCTTAGGTTTCTTTGTGCTTATTTTATTCTTGGCCAGACTCTCTCCACACTGGCCTCAGGCAGCTCCAGGACTGCCTGGCTCTTAGTGCCTGCTGTTTCAGAGGAGAGAGAACCCGTTTCTCAAGAGCTGGGCATGATGCTCATCCATGGCGCTTGGGTCATGACTTCTCCCTGAATTTCACCGAGGCCTAGAGGGTGGAATATCTGGTGGCAACGTATCCATTTAGAACTGGAGTACAGTCAGGAACCAGCAGTTAGTGTAATGGCTGTGTTTGGCTGTGTTGCTGGACTCCCATGTAGTCGACCGCAGTTCAAGTCCCAGACCCAGTGGCTTAAACTCATACTGGGCGCATGTGCGTGTGTGCCCAAGATCCTGAGAGGAGAATGGAGGAGAAGGGATTGCAGCCTGGCCATCCCCTCTGGGGGGAGGGGGGACTTCTTGCTTTCTGTCTCTCTGCCTCTCTTTTTTTGTCAAGCACATGAACCCTATAGCAAAAACCTCCCCCCAAAAAAGAAAGACCTGAGTAGGGTCAGCACACCCAAACCACATGATCCCCAAAGGAGACAGAAACAGCACTCTGAAGGGCCGTTGCTGGTTGTTGCCGTTACACAAAGAAGAGCAGTCAAAGGTTCACAGCGGGCTCTGTCTTGGCCACCTCCCTTCCTCATTCCTTTCCAGGTACCCTGGCTGGTTGTTCTCAGACCTTCCTGCCCTTGGGCTTTGCATCTGCTGCTCCTGGTCCAGAATCCCTTTCCTCCAGATCTGTGTATGGTTGGTTCTGATTTTTGCTCTAATGTCACCTCTCAGAGTCCTTCTCAGACCCCCTTTTCGGACCCCGAAGCACCCGCTCCTGCCCATCACCTCATCATCTGCTGGCTCACCGGAAGCCGACTCGCTTATTACTTCGTTGACTCTCAGTTTCCCTCTCGCCTGAATGTAAGCTCCGTGCGAGCGGGGATCGCCATCTGTGTTATCACTCTAATCCTCAGAGTACAGAGCAGTGCCCAGCACCAAGTAAGTGTTCAATAAGCAGTGGCTGGAGAAGTGATAATAATCTGTGGTAGCATCTAATGAGATCAAGGAGAACTTCATGGAGGAGATGGGTGTTGCAGAGAAGGATTTTTTTTTAAAAATATGGTAAATATATATAACATACAATTTGCAATTTTAACCATTTTTTATTTATTTGTTTGTTTTAGAGAGATTTTTGCTAAAGGGTGCATGCACTCACCAGAGAGACAGAGAGACAGAAAGCAAGAAATCGCCCTCCGGGGAGGATGGCCACACCACAATCCCTTCTCTTCCATTCTCCTCTCAGGATCTTGGGCATGCACACACACGCGCCTGGCGTGAGTTTAAGCCACCGGGTCCTGGACTTGAACTGCAGTTGACTACATGGGAGTCCAGCGACATAACCAGTAAGTACATCATCTATTGGTCCAGCCATTTTAACCATTTTTAAATGTAAAATTTAGTGGCACTAAGTACATTTGTAATGTACAAGTGTCGCCACTGTCCATTTCCAGAACTTTTAAAATCTTCTCTAACTGCAATTGTGTCCCATTAAACAGTATCTGCTCATTCCCTGCTCCCTCCGTCCAGCCCTGGCAATCACCTCAGAACTTCCTGTTTCTACAAATTTTACTACTCCAGGCACTTCGTCCGTGGAATCACACTGCATTTGTCTTTGTGGCTGGCTGGTTTCACTTAGCAGAATGTTCTCCAGTTTCGTCTGTGTTGTAGCATGTGTCTGTATTTCCCTTGTAAGGCAGGATATCATGTGTATCTGCCACGTTTTGATGACCTGTTCACATGTTGATGGACATTTGGGTATTTATACTATTTGCCTCGTAATACTGCTATGAACATTGGTGCACAAGGGTCTGAGTCCCTGTTTTTAATTCTTCTATTTGAAATTGGAGGTAGAATTGCTAGCGAATATAGGAATTGTTTAACTTATTATTATTATTTTTTTAATTTTTGCTGTAGTTTTGTGTGTACTCACTAGAGAGAGAAAGAGGGAAAGTGAGAAATAGTCCCCCGGGGGGGACAACCATGCTGCAATTCCTTTCCCTCTACTCTCCTCTCAGGATTTTGGGCATGCACATACACGCACCCAGGACTCCGACCATGTGTTTGGCCGTGTGGAATCCAGCTACCTTAACTGCCATGCCACTGGCTGGCCCTCTGCTTTTTGACTACAGCCATTCTTTGTGTGCGAGAGGATGGCATTTAGCACCAGCCAGTCCTTCAGGCCACACGTGGCCTGTGGTGTATCGTGGATTCAGTCACACAGACTGATGTCATAACCACCCAGGCTCTGTTAACTTCCCCCTCCTGGAAGTAGACAGATTTCGTAGAGTTCTGGAAAGTACCTACTTCACATGTCTGTTGCTGCTGCTAGGGTTCAGGTTGGTTCAGGGGTACTGAGCACTCAGCACCTTGCTGTGAAAGGGTGAGCTGACATGCAGACAGCTTAAACAGCCCCACACATCACAATGACCAGGGCCTATGACCAAACAGCCTCCATCATGTAGGCCAGGGCTCATCTCAAGGACAGGTGTGGCCATGGGACACAGTAGCAGGACTCTCCATGCGGCTGGGGCCCCTGCAGTTGGAAGGGCAGAAGCACTGGTGTGCCTTGGCAAAAGGAAGGGTAGGCTCTGTCTGCACCGAAGCAGGCCCCAGCCCCAGGACAGAAGCAGTCTGTGTATGTAAAGGAAGGGATGCAGGGGTCTATTGAGGTTCGGCTGCCACTC